GTGTTTTGATCATTGGTTCTATATGTATTCCTCCTTTGCCAGGTACCAAAGACACCACTTTTTTTATAGATAATTCTAGCTTTAGTTCCTTAAGAAAGGAGGGTTGTGCTCTCGTGGTGTCCGTGGCTCTAGTTCAGTGTGCACTTAAAGAGGCACTGCCAGTGTAAAGAAAGAATACTTGCACACCCCCAACCCCACTCCTGGCTGCCCGCTTCTGCCTCTGCAGGACATGTTTGTGCAGCCTTGAAGCAAATCAGATGAGGGAATGGTGCTGGCTGAAAACAGATGAGCCATGCAGTCTTATTAGCCCAAACCTAATATCCAAACCCAATCATTCACATGTTAAGTGTGATCAGTTCACTACCCAGCTGTGTAAATGACTGTGCCAAGAACACACAGAGAGGAGCAACAGGCAGCCTGAAGTGAACACAGAGGGAAAGAAGCACTGCATTTTTCAGTGGCCAGCTTTTTTCAGTGGTCACCAAACTATGTTCTGCATGTGTGTGCTTGCACATGCATTCATCAGTCTCTGCTGTTGCCTCCATCTCCCTGTAGAGCTCTTAAATCTGTCTGGAAATCTCAATCAAACGATACAGCAGGGCTGAGGACTAAGTTCCCGCTTCTTACATAGACATCAGAAAAGGGGAAAGGTTGAAGTCAGAAACTCCTTAGAGGGGAAAAAACAAAGTGTGAGCTCACCTCTTATCAGCCATCACAGAATCCATATGTGCAACCACTTCAGAGACACTGATGTTATTAGACACCAAAGCATCCACACTGGTCAGGCACAGGAAGCCTGACCTCACAATTCCACTGCTCACTGAGCAACTTGCTAGATTTACTAGCTTTTATTCAGCTGTTTGGGGGTCTCCAAAGAATCTGCAGTGCTGACTGTACAAGAACAACTCACTCTGGCACTGACAAGTAATTAGAAGGAAAAGAACCAGAACAGCCATTAAAACAGTCAAGGCAACTTTTTGATCCAGAACCCTTAAGAAAACCCAAAACAAAACAAAAAAGTCCCCAACCAACACACACACACAAAAACAAAAAAAAAAAACACCACAAAACACATCAAAACCCCAAACCAAATCCACAATAAAAAAGCAAACATACTAAATTTCAGCATGTAGGAGAACAACTCCCAATCTGCCACATACACACTATCCTCCATCTCAGGTTTGGTTCTAGGGGGCTGAGTTTCAAATTCATAGCAAAGCATGGTCTGTCCTTGGGCCTGAGAGCCATTCTGCAGCAGCTTTTCACCCTGAATAAAACCAGTGGCAAGAGTTAATTAGCCTTCACAACCATTCTGTGCATCAGTGGGAGCAAAGGAAACCCCTATTTGAGGAGGCCAGAGCTCACAGAAATTTCACCTGCCTCTTTCTGTAAACATACACTGAGAGTTTGACTGAAGAAAATAGGAAAAGAGGAACGACTTTCTCCAAAAAATGGGAGAACACTTCCCTGTTGTTGCTACCGCTACCAGCCACAGATCCATCCAGAATAGTTTTCCTTCGACTTGTTTCATTTTGTCCTGCAGAGGTCGGTCTTGCCTGCAACACTATGCAAAGTGGCGAGCCCTCTTGCTCTGCAAACATTAGGTCTATTCCACTTTCCTAAAACGGGAAACAAAAGCGATGATGATCCTCCTAAATTGTGTTATCTATACCAAGTAAAGCAAAGAGCGAAGAATAAATCTTATTTCTCCCAAAACTCTGGTAACTAGAGAATAAATTAGTCATACTTGGTGAGATCTGATATAAGTATGCTGAATCAAAGATTTTTATTGCCTTTTTCAGTCCAATCTTTGCACTTGCACTAGCCAAGGTCTCTGGACATAAGAGACAAAGTAGATCAAGCCTCTAATGCAATCAGATTTTCTTCCCTTGTAATGGACGCACATGTTCCATGTGTTGGGATGCAGCCTTGCTCCTGAAACAGTACCAGAAAGCAATCTCAGAGACTACAACATGCTTTAAATCCTGCTTTAAGTCCACAGTTCTTAAATGAGTGATTGTAGACATCTTTTCCTGACGCTGCACCCCTTGGATATCCTGCACAAAATGGACTGTCACCCTTCAGGAGGAGAAAAAAAATATTTCCCTGTCCCAACGCAGTGAAGCACTGAAATTCTGCTTATTGACCCTAAGCTAGGTTTGACACACCAAGTGCTAAAAGCTCCTGGCCTCTGCACTGTGAGGGATCTTTCTTGCCTCTATGCTACTGACACAGGAGCTGAATGGCAGCTCTCTGCTAAACTGGTGTCGAAGGCGATTTCACTAACATTTATCAAGCCATTTCAACTTCCCCACCACCTCAGGACCAGTCCCCACCAAGAAGTATTTAGTGTAGCAGCTGTTTCCTGAGTCATTTGGCCTCCTGAATTTATTCCTTTGGGACTAGGAAAAGGAATTGAAGGAAGCCAAAGGTAGGTAACTTTTCAGCATTTTGTGGCCAGCCTCCTTCCCTCATCTGCAGCCCTGTCAGTACAGATCCTCAGATTAGAAGGAAACAGAAATCCTTGTCAGTTTAAGTAACCTGGAAAGAAGCAGGGGCTCAGAACAAATACGGATCTTCACCTTGCATTTGTGTGAGGGCAAATTAAGTCAGGAAACTTGTTCTAGATTCAATTGCTGTCAGAGAAAGGACAGTATCTTAGATTTTTAGTAGGAAGAATAAGAATTCACTAGTGAGGTATAAAGGAAAAAGTTCATCTGAGGAAATAAGGTGTTTGTCTGAAAGGCAACAAGGTCCTTTATTTAGACTTTATCCTGCCTTGTACATTCCTATCTGTTGCTTCATATTGTCATGTGCTGGTTTGGATGAGCAGATAATAGCAGCTGGCCTGATTTAACCAACAGCTTGAGACTGCCTTCAAACCAAGCAGTAGAAATTTGTGCTACTGTAGATGTGGATGTAGATGACTTGACTCCTACCTATGTCTTCTATTAACAGGCAGCATTTCCTTATAACTTCTCTATACTTTCCAGGTGAAATCACTGAATCTCTACTGGGGATTACATATAGGATGGATCACAGAGTGGATTTTTGTCCATAGTTATTATGTCTCATTATTCTTGTCTGGCAAATGTATACTCTCACCTTTATTTGTCACCTTTCCCGCTCTTACACTTGTAAATGCTCCCCACAAGTTAAAAATATTTCTGAAGTGACTAGTCAAATATATAAAACAGATGCACAATTGCATCTTGGGATGAATTAATTCTGTCTGTGTGTGAGCAAGAGAATGAATGTGTGGGTAGATCAGGGAATACATTGGACTAAGCACACCAGCTGATTTTTAAAACTCTGCATCTTGATCACTGTTTCTTTCTGTCTGTTTTTCTCCCCTCCCATGAGGGGAAATCAAACAAGGACATTTTAAGAGGTAATCCCATGTCGAGTATCACATTTTAATCCAAATCAAACTACCTTAAAATAAGGCCAAAATATATCCAACGCTTTTAATTTCTGCTTTTCTGTCATTTGAAGTGTAACATAAAACCAGCCAAATTGTCAGGAATTTTCCTCTAAACCAGTAAGGCAAGGAGCCAGCTCTGTAAGCCTCCTTTCAGATCAGTTCCTGTAACCTTCACTATCTGCATGCAGTACAAATATTTACTGGGACTTTTAGGTGTAAATTAGGCTACCACATACAATGTGGCAGATATTAACATGCAGAGATGCAGGTTCCCTGGGTGTATTTTGAGCAACTGTTCTTTGTCTGAGAGTTTGACAAGCTGGCCCTATTTCTCAAGTGTCAGGGCTACAGCAAGTTTTACTCCTAGGCTCAGATCTTCTCAATTACATATATCATCCTGTATTGAGAGAGACAGTTGGACATTGCTTTTCTGAGGAGGCAAGCAACACTTGTGTAATTAAATCTTCACCTCTGAAGATCTGCATTAAATATTCACATCCTCCACAGACAGTACTTCATGACAGAAATACTAACATAGTGGCCAATTAAGCTATAATTAATGGCAAAAGGTGTGGCTAGTGAAAGAGGTTCTGCATAACCACATGAACAGCTAGGAATCTAGACGAGGCATTTGGATCCACTGAACCCAATTTGGGGTACCAAACCTGACATCAACGTTTCCAAAAATTAAAAGCTACGTGCCCAGGGCAACAGCCCCTAGCCACTTTCATTAGCTATAGAGCCTGGCTTGCTTCCACATCATGTGCTTTATTACCTTCAGTGGGACAAAGTGTTAAAATAAAGGATGTGCATGGTGTTAGTCTGGCTCTCAAGAGAACTTGAATCATTACCTGATAACTTCTTGTACTGCCTTGGGCATGGGAAGCCCAAATCCAGCAGACACAGTCCATTTATGTCAATGGAAATTGTGCACTGAACCATTTCGAGAAGATTCAGGTTTTTGTGTTTTGGCAATTCAGTTTTCAATCTATAAAATTCCCTGTTTATTATTTATGACCAGTCTCATGGGACAACTGAGAGGAATATGTATGTTTTGACATATATTATGCATGTATGTTCTGAACACGCTATGCTGATGAGGACAGAACAGGCAAACATCTAGAAAAGTGAAAATAGCCATACTAAACAGGTAAGATTTTGTCCTCTTTGCTTATACTGTTTCATCTGCATTCTGAGTTAGAAAGGAGATGTGACAGAGCCAAATCCTGTTTATTTTCTCACACGCTCATTATGTAGTGTGTGCAAATATCCAGACTCATGCAATCTAAAATAATGCATTAATGCCCTTGTAAAAATTCAGCTCTTCGACTTTTCTAAGGAGCCTGCTAAAAGAAACAGCTACAGGGTCAATCTCAGGTATAATAGATTTTTCTTTTAGGCTTCAACAATAAAATAGTTGGTGGTCTCTAATGCTACTGCCTTTAAAACATTCCTGAGTTTTATTAGGATAACCCGTAAGTCTGGAAAGTCCCACCCTAAGAGCAGCAGCAGCTTTTGTTCAGAGAATGCAAGTTTCTTCTTGTACAATGTTGGACTCAAGGGTGTCTGAACTATGAAGGGGTGGCTAAAGGCATAATAGGCAACAGGTTTCAGACTTTTATGAGGGGAGTGTGGGGGAGAAAGGCAGCCCTACATCATGGTGCTAATGTATAACACTACCTGAAACATGAAAGGACTTCATCCAGCTCCTCTTATATGCATGGTCAGATCTTCAACTGGTATAGCATAATGAAGCTCCATTGATCTCCAGGGGACTGTGCTGATTTACATTCCCAGATCTGGCCATATATCTACACGCCATATGCTGTCCGTAAGCAAGGAGAGAATGCAGAGATTACTTCAGCAAAAGTTTCTATTAAACCACATGCAAATGAGTGTGGTTTCTAAAGTTCATGGAACATACCTGCAGAGCTAAAAGACAATTTCTGATACAAAGTCATTTGTTCCACTTCAAATGATCAAGTTATTCCTTTTCTTTCTAAAATGCCTATGAAATAGTGCCATAGCTCACTGCTTTTATGAAACCGCATTTCTTCTTGCTTTATTATTGCTGACTGACCTCATGAGCTAACTTTTCAGAGGAGTACATGTGAATTTATTTACATACGTGCCAGTTATATTAATAGAAGTTGCAATGACTCATCATTGCACATTGCTAAAAATCCTCCCTCATCTCATCTTCACAGTGAGATTTCTGTTCCACGTGAATTTCCTCAGCTTACCTTTTTAGAAGTTCCAACATCCTTACTCTCTTGGAAAGAAAAGTCTACTTTTCTTTCTAAGATGGCAGACACTCAGCCTGCCACCCCGGTGAACAGGCCTGCAGCATCCAGACTTTGTTGCAAGGGCCACTGCAAACTATAATCCTATTTGGGATTAAAATCCCAATTATCCTTCTGGAAGAGAACAGCTGCTTGCTCTGCTATCTCTTGGCCCTTATTCAGTGACGCTTAAGACCACACACGTGTACAATCAATAAGAACATATCATTCAGATTTGAAACTCTTTTGCAGTAGAACAGAATCACAGAGCGGTTTGGATTGGACCTTAAAGACCACCTAGTTTCACCATACTCCCACAGGCAGGGACACCTTCCAATAGACCATGTTGCCCAAAGCCCCATCCAACCTGGCCTTGAGCACTGCCAGGGATGAGGCAGCTGCAGCTTCTCTGGGCAACCCATTACAGTGTGTTGCCACCCTCACAGTGAAGAATTTCTTCCTAATATTGAGTCTAGATCTCCCCTCTTTTAGTTTAGAGCTGTTTGCCCTGGTCCTATCCCTACATGACCTTGTAAAAAGCCCTTTCCAGATTTCTTGTCAGCCCCTGTAGGCATTGGGAGGCTGCTCTAAGGTCTCCTTAAAGTCTTCTCTTTCCCAGTACCATGACATTTGTGTGTAAGATCAGGTATATTTCATAAGGCCAGAGCTGTCTGGACTGTCATATACTTCATATAGATAATATTTGTCAATTAATATTTTCTGTGTCCTTGTTTTGCTCTTTCACATAGCCCCCATATATTTGCTTTTTCCCAACCTTCCTGCCTTCCTTTTTCTCAATCCCACTTCATTTTTCTCCCTGTTCTTTCTTCTTGTGGCCTCACCTTTAAAAAATACATACTGAGCCACAGTCAAACTGAACCTGATAACCTTACGGTATTTGCATACATACAAGATTAAGCAAAATGCTCAATACATGTAAACACCTGCACGTAAGTGGGCAGCATGACTTCGAGTACTTATGGCAGCCTTTACGAGACTGCTTTGGCTTAGCCCAGCACAACTTCCAAAGAGGGGTTTTGAAAATCCCACTGCAATCTAAAGTTCAGAAAGTCCTAAAGTTCAGAAGTTCCTAAAGAAGACCATGTTTCTTGAAAAATGTTACTGAAGGTGATGGTTTATAGGCCAGAATCCAGATAGGGGGTTCTTATTAATGAGAACTATGGACATGTTCACAATTAAGAGTCAGTCTGTCCAGGTGAAAGACAGAACTGGAATAGCTGAGGTGTTTTGCATAAAGCTCTTGACAGTCATATTTTAGATATGCACCCATGTGGGCAGCTATTTCAGTGCCCTCTTTTTAGTTAACTCTCTGCAGGTAGCCTTAGAGGGTAAGCACAGTATTTCTCAAGAGAGTTTTGGCAAGAACTCCTTGATACGAGCTAATAGATGCTAACTGTACGGCGTATCACTAATTAGATTTGTTGGTGGCACTGCTGTTTATAGAACTCTTCAGACAATTTTACTTTATTGTAGAAAGACACCAAACAAAAAAGTGGTCTCTGCTCCAAAGAACTGGTATTAATGTCAGACCAAAATAACAACCCTTTTCACTTCTATAGTGAGGCAAGGGGCACATAAGGGTGTGACTTTTTAGCACAAAACTGAAGGAAAGGAAGAGTTGCAATCCGGGACCATGGTGAAGCATAGCCATGGAGCCTGAGAGAGTGTAAGCAACTTCCCCCCAGAACTCACAGGTCACCTCACAGGACTGAGCTGAGCTAAACTGAACTGAACCCAAGTCTGTCAAGTCCCAAGCCAGTGCTTTAACCATCCTTCAACTTAGGCAGCTTTGCTCAGGTAGCCTCAGAGGTCCAAATCCTGCCCTGAGGTACATGTAGCCTCATTAACTTACTCTAAGTAAGAGCTGTGAGCAGAACTTAGCCCACAGCAAGCAAGATTTATAGACTGAAAATGCCACATACTTTGTTTTTTATCCAGTGAGGGGAAAAAAAAGCTTGAAACAAGCCGAGCAAAATAAATCAAGACTGCATATTTTTCATTCTGCAAACAAGAAAATATATACACGTGAACATAAAAAACACAGGTGCCCAAATACTGCAGTTGCCTCCTAAATCTGCACCAATGGCTATGTTATACCTGTCTCCAGACAGATACATAAATTACTTTTTTTGGAGGAGGAGGAGGGAAAAATCATCTTAAATAAGCTTGCACTTTTTTTTTTTTTTTGCACCTTTTCCCCTAAGGCCCTGTGACCCTTTCACTTGAATTAAGTGTGCATAGATGCCATGCGCTTTGAACATAAGCTGCACAACAGTTTATTCTCAACTGGAAAAGGCAAAGCTTTGGTTATGCTGCATTCCTAGTATTTTTTTGCAGTTTATGGAAAACTCCCATAAACAGAGTACAACACAGTCAGCTTTCTCTGCTAATATGCTGTCTAGACTGCTTAAAATGTGAGTTCTCCTGGGCTACCATGTATCACAGCTTAAACTTTTGACCTTGTTTCTTTTCCCTTTGACCACTTCATAGGTTTTGACCCTTTTCAAGTATTTAATACCCAAATGGCATGTCACCATTGCTGCTGGGGGTATGAGAACAAGAACTCTTAAAACCTGCCCTTTATTGTGAAGTCAAGAAAACTGAGTGCAATCTAACATTAAAAGTTAGAGAACGTCTTCCACCTTTATACAGGCTCCAACATACGGCACCTTCCCAGGCTAGGTGACACCGATACATTATAGAAGTGACAGCAGGCTATTCGGTAACACCATCACATATGTGCTGGAAGGGGCAGAGGGTTTGTCATGGAACCATACAAACACTGGGGCATTGCTAATGCATGCCTTTGATTTCTGTTTATGGCCCCCAAGTTGAGTGATCTGTCTTGTTGGCACCAACCTGACTATTTTTAAATGATGTAGCAGCTGGCTCAACACATACTTCAAAGATTTATGTTCATGTCCCAAAGCCGCCTTACTGAAAGGGAAACTCTGAAGTAGCTTCTACTAGCTTACCCCATACACAGATACAGTCTACATGCTTTATCCCAGGCCATCATAGCATACATTTTAACTAAAAGAAAGCAGTGAGATATATAAGGGAAAGCAAATATGGAACAACAAAGGCAACAATTAAATATTTGAGAGTTTACAAACCTTGAAGTTCCTGAATTACAGAGCATAATTCTGGAGTTCTCATGCTGCAGAGTCAAAGAAACTCTTGATAGACATTAAGTGCAGGAAATTGGCCCTTCCTATGACACGAATTACAGAAATGGAGTTAATTCCTGCACTCACAGAAGTACATGGATAGACACACACCCACATGAATTTAGATCTGCTCATATTTCAGTAACCGAGCAAAGAAGCCACACTAGAGGCCACTGTGCTCATTATTATAATCAGGTATCAGTTTATGGAGAACATCTAGCAACACCCATGTCTGATGCAGAACCGCAGAATATTTCATCTAAGCTTTTCACATGCTAGCACTAACAATTATTAAAGACACTCTTCTGCACAGAGACACTTAACCTGATATTTGGCCTACAATGCCTCTCCATTACAGTCTGAGTGAAATCCTGTGGTTAACAGTCATTCCAGAAGTGGCAAATCAGCCTTGCCTTCACAGAGGTCTAGAAATCCAAAGGTCCATAAGGGAATATTTTTCACTATTGACTAGAAAAATATACATAATTCTTGGCACTATTTCCCCAGCTAACTCGAGGTGGACACTCATATGAACTAGAGATCTGCAAAAGCATTAAGAGCATCCATACAAAAATGTGGGAAGCTCCCCCAGCACAATCTACATATTTAGGCCTGTTGTGATGGGACAGGCACTTCCCAAGCAAGCTTGTTATGTGAATCCCATCGTTAAGAGACGGTTGTTGATGGGGGAAGTGTGGTTTCTACTGCTGTTAGCTATCACAAAGTGCCCTGAGATTATTGCAGCTCTGACACTGTAAGGGAGGACCTCTCAGCCCCAAAAAACTGACAGAAAAGAAACAACGATTCCGTGTATGGATTAGCTTCAATTTTTTATTCATCTGTGTGCATTAGAGGCTAGTTTTAACATGAGGTAATAAAAGATGTCTACCTTTATGTGGAGAGCAAAAACTGATTGAACAAAATCATAACACGACCCCTTCTGTTACTGCACAGCTGAACTTGCAACGATGACTTCAAGGAAACTGCTTGGACCATGATGTAAATTCCTGAGCCCAAGAGAGTTTAAGTGAGACTCAAGTGTGATTTGCAGTCTCTCATCTCATTTCTAAATCCTCCCACAGGTAATTTTACACAAGGCAATAAGCTCTCCATCCAGGTTACTGCAAGAGTTCACCCCACTAAATCTATTTGCAATGGCTGCAAAGCTGCTGTTGGAGGAACTGGCAAGAGCCCACACAGATGAGAAGGAACAAATCTATGGGTCTCTCCTGAGGGGAAAGTCTCTTTATTACCACCGAAGCCCATCCTCTCCAAAACCCTAAGCTAGACAAGCTGTGGGACATATAGCCCCTCTTCTCTCTTTCTTAGCCTCTGCATGTCATTAACCATGGCAACAGGGTTTAGTATCTTTTGCTCTATCAGAGAAGTAAGAGGGGCTGAAAGCAGGGGCGGGGGGGGGGGGGGTGTCTATGCAAATTGGGGTAGGACACCCTGAATTCAGAAATTCCTTCTACACGGAATCCTGCTATGGAGGTAGTGCTGTAACTGTGCCTGATTTTGTTCCTTCAGCTGCTCTCGAGCTGTTTCCTCTGCTGTCTGGTTCACCATCCTAAAATAAATCACTTCTAAAAGAGATGTTTCATTAAAATGTCCAAAATCAACTGGTGTTCAAATGCTTGGATTATGGGAAAAAAATTAACAATATAAAAATTTAAACCACAGGAAACATACACTAGGAGATTTTTTTTCTCCCTCTCTCAGTTATATTATGAGGTTGGCAATCTCCAAGATTTCTCAGGCACCTGTGCTGATAATCACAGGTCAGCATTACTGGGTGCTGTGTACCTGAAGTGTAACCAGACCCAGCTCTATTCTCTTCTGGGCTCTTCTCCTGTTCCAGAACATTTCAGTTTACTCACAGGAGGTTTCTGTTAGCAGGACTAACACTGAAAATTTCCTACACACATTAGCCAAGCCAGTCAGCCATAGCTTTCTCTCTTTCATTAGTGCCTAACTAATCTTTTCCACAAGTGCCCAGATCTGACAGTCCTAATGACTAAGCTTTAGCTTCTAATCTTTGACAATATGAGCAAATAAATCTTTAGTTTCTGTTCTTCCCAGACCAGTTTTTGCCAGGCTTTTCCTGAGTTAGAAAGAGAAATCCATCTTCTTTGCTTTCTCAAGAACATTTTTCAGGGGTTTTAAAACTCATAGAGGGTTCAGGCACCTTTTTCCTCTTTGCCCAAATGGGTTTTTAGCTGCTTTTCAACAGCCTAGGGACCAGAAGTACACCTAGTCCATCACCCTTACTCAGGGCTGCCCACTTGTGGGGCTGGAGCATGCAACTCCTCAGCTTCAGAGCAAGAGAGTAATTCCATAAAGCCCCTGCTGAATACATACACACACACACATGCATTTATCATCTGTATGTCTGTCTCACAGCTTTATTCAGGGCTAAGCAAAAATCCTTCTAATCTGTATCAGACACTGTGGCTGTCACCCTTGTGATATTTCAGTGTCTCATTGCCTCTACTGTTTTTAACTAGTATTAGGAAATATTAGCCTTTGAGAACAATAGGAATCTTTCTGTCAGCCCCTTTGGGTTTAAGATCAGGACCTGAATCCCTGGTCTGAGTCAAAATCTGTACATTGTCCTCTTTCTTCCCACCCTGATTTTCCCATGTCTGCTTCAGCTCCCTGTCTTTTTTGCATCTCTATCTCAGGGCTGAATCAGACACATGACTTTTAAATTGCGTAAAATAGTTTGACATCTTCCAACCTACACCTAAGTCCTGGGTCAAATTATCTGCTAAGATCTGCCCCCTGAGTCTCACCCTAGTGTTTTCTTGTCCCTGAATGTGCAAAACAATTATGTGAAATGGAAAAAAGCTTAAATTATAATTAAATTATAACAAAGCTTAAATGTATGGTGCTGAGCTGAGGAGCAAAGTTGGGCTAAACATTTTGTCAGCACTTAGAAAACCAAATGTGAGTAAGGAACTGATATCCTCTCCACATCTTCTTGGTATTCTTGTATGCATTTTTACTTGTAAGTTAAAGTTTGTAATTATACAGATTTCAGGCATGTATTAAATATGTGCACACCATAATATTGATACATTCATAATAGTCTTCATATGGAAAATTCTAGCAAGTTCCAATGATTCACTAAGATTTTGTTTAGGTATTCATGTCTGAACCAGAAACTCTCCAGAGGGTCATTTGCTTGTTTGATAAATCCTAAAAGAACACATTTTTACACAAGTATTTTAATACAGGAAATATAAGTCTAGTCAGTATCTTTCCAAATACATGCGTCTGAGTGGGTTTTGATGTGAAATGCTGCTTAATGTCTTTTAAAGTACTATTAAAACAACTTCACATGAACAACTACCAGTCAATGTGTCTCCCATTTTCTAACACTAAAAGACCATTGCTGAATAAATGTATTTTAGAATCACATGTAATGAATAAAACAGGAAAAAAAAAAAAGTAGATGAGGAAGAAAAGATAACAGCAATAAGGCATTATTTAAATATGCATTACCTCAAAAATGTAAGTGGTCACCCCTAGGTTGGCTCTCTAATGGAAAAGAAATAACATGAAATCGGGCAATTACAGACCCTTTGCTGAGGTATGACTGAGCCTGCTGTACTTTGTGAGGGCTGGCAGGAATGGCACTGGGAGTACTGAGCAGTGCCCAGACAGGCCAGAAGCGACTGATTTATGACATAAAGAAGGGTGTAGCCAGAGAATAACTTCTAACAAATGTATCTAAAAATGAGCTGTAAAGAAATGATGGATTGATGGTAAAGAGCATGCCCCCAGGAAATGCTGGTGTTTGAAAGCTCCCATTTAACTCTTGTTTAATTCTGTTTTGAGTGAAACCAGCAGAGGAAGAGGAGACTTTTCCCAGAAACCATATTTTTGTATTGTAAAGTGTAGAGCAATTCAGACAAAGAGTCTCAAGCATCTCAGCAGAGGAAAAGGAAGACAAAACTGCTTGCCAAACATGCACTAGCAATGTTTGCAGAGTTTTCCTTTCAGAAAAATAAAATCTAAGCCTTCGGTAGTATGGCTATTCAGAAGTACTTTTGAACAAGCATTCATATGTGGGGTGGGAAGAGTGGTCTATAACACAGTAAGCCACATGAGTGGGAGTAGTCATTCGATGTTTTGGATGTTAAGTTGTGCACTAAAAATGCTGATCAAAGGCTGGAGAAAATGGCAGATGCTTAAAGAGCTTGGACTGCTTCATTCATCAAAAACAAACAAACAGAAGACTGAGAAGTGACTTAATACATAAGTCTCTCCATCAGAATGCCAAGTACTGAAGGCTGTCTATCCCCAGAAGGTGTGGTGCCCCAGAAACCCATAGGTGAAAGAAAGTTTTGACTCTTGGAAGGAAATATTGAACAGATAGTTCCAGGGATTCATCACCAAGGAAAGTGAGAGGCCCTCTGTCTCTACACATTCAGATCAGGCCACCGTGCCTTTTTAGAAAAGATGTTCCAGTCAAACCCAGTTTAGTTTTGTGCCAAACTCAAATTACTGGTCTCAAAAGACCATTACCCTTAGTAAGTGGATTACTCCTTGCTAAACTAGGCTAGATAATCTAATGGTCCTCTCTGACCCTGAATTATCTTAGTCTTTATCTACCCACTTCAATGAGTGTGGATACAAATGGTAATGTTAAATGAACATGCCTGTTGAGGTTTGTATTAGAACATGATTGCTGGGTTGGAAAAGCCTCAATCCAGTTTAAGGGAGCACTTAAATGTATATTAAAGTTCCATGAATCCACCAGGACCTAATCTCATGCCCTAATATGCATTCCTGTAGCACCTTGTAGAGGATAAAGATATCCATGTAAAGTAAAATACATGATGCTTGGTAACATAGCATCCATGTTTTCTACTTTCCCAGTGTTCTTAGTGTATACGCTTGTTATTTTAAAACCTTTCTTCCTAAGTACAGGTAGTTCCAAAATAAGAAAGAAAAAAAGTATGGCATAATGGTGTTGATGTTAATTGCAGTACATGTGGGACCAATTACGCTGCATATTATTACAATCGCTCAGCGTTTGTCATTGCAATGTCCTGATTTTGATTTCTTATAATTTATGAAAATGCAATTGCATGCACTGGGATTTCTCATATAATCCAGAAGACTCAGGTTGAATCTTCGGGATTTTTTTAAATGATTTATTTACTCAAAGGAGTTGTGTCATTCAAAAAATTAGGGTTGGGAGAAACTTACTGTTTTATCTATGTTAAAATTATTCTAGTGCCGTTTCTATGAATAGCTGCTGTACTGCTTACCACCTGCTGAGTGAATAACTTGAGAGTTGTCGGAAGGGGACTTTTGCCATGCTTATGAAAATGTCCCCATACAGCCCAGGCAAGAAGTTTCTAGAAAATTCACAGTTTCCACATGCTCAGAAAACACTTTTCATATATCTGTTAAAAAAAAACACCACAAAAAACCTTTGTACTCAGCATGTTCAACTACCTTATAGCTCCCAGAGCAGCTGAGACTGGACTGGGGCCTCCCCATAGGGCAGATATGGATGCCTGTAGGACTCAGAAGGGCTGTCTCTGAAATTATTGCTTTGTCATTTGGGTATGAGGACATGAGCACTGAGAACAGGTCCTTGTCTCTTCTGTGGCCTCTCCCCTGGTGTTCAACCAGCATGAAGTAGACAGCAGCCTTATTCAAATGTAGAGGGGATGAAAGCTGCTCTAGGCAAGGGCAGGTGAAAGAGAGATGTGTGGGTTAATTTTGCAAAAAGGATACGCTTGAGTAATTAGACTGTAAAGAGCAGTAGGGCTGAATAAAAATTGCACAGGCAGTCCCAGTTTGGGTAGTACCTGAGTTTTGTGGACCCCATTTTGAATCTACAAGATTGTTCCTCCTCTTCATCTTTGTATGAGATTTGGAATGCTTCAGCACACCTAGTATGCAGTAATGAACTCTCCCAAAGCAGTATCATTCTACTACCCCAGCATACAGCTCACTTTCCTTGGCAGACAAACAGCAGACCTCATTCCCACTTGTGTGTACCTTTGTGGCTCTCTCCTTCTTTTTCTTCACGTTATCTTCATCCTGTGTCCCTGTACCTTCCAGGTGTATTTTACAACCTTACTTACACAGTTCGTATGTCTGGGTAGTCCCTTCCCAAAATCAGTCCTTCTGTCTCCCCAGTGACTTCTCTCATTTTGCTTGCCCTTTTCCTTTGCTGTTCCCTTACTCTCTAGATCTTTTTTCTTGTATTTCAGGTTTCATTTCCCCTGGCAGTGCTTTCTCTAGTTCCTACCTCCTGATTCCCCAACCCATTAATCTCTTCTAAGTTTTTATCCATTCTCCCCTTGAAACCTCTAAATTTCTCGCATCCATAACATCCTCTGGTGGGGATTTCCACAGCTCTGTTACCATTGTGTGAAGAAACACTTCCTGTTGGTTTTAACCTGGCTCTTCCCAGCTGCATGTCATGCCCACTAGTTCTTGTACTGGAAAAGACAGTGAGCTATTGATCTCTGATCAACCTCTTCTTACTATTTGTGGTGGTGTAGACCTCTGTCATACCACCACTCCCAATCTATCTCTTCCAGATCCAATCATTTCTCATATGGAAGTCATTCCAAACCTTTGATCATCCTTTTCACCCTTTTTTGAACCTTTTCCAGCTTACTATATCCTTTTCTTCAAATGAGGGGATAGAACAACACACATTATTTGAGGTGTGGGTGAACCATAGCTGTAGAGAGTGATGAAGTGATTTTTGCTTTGCTTTCCATTCCTTTCCTAATCATTCCTAACATTTGATTTGCTTTTTTTTTTCTGGTGGCTTCTGAGCCCTGAGCTGATGTTTTGATTCAAGGTTCACTTCTTGGTGGTAATAGCTCAGAGCCCATCATTTATAATGAATCTAGGATTGCTTTTCCCCACATGCATCACTTTATGTTTATATACACTGAATTTCGTCTGTCATTTTATTGCCCAGTCACTCAGCCTCATAAGGACCTTCTGCAATTCTTCACCCTTCACAATCCTCACTGTTAAAAACCAACAGGAAGCCTGTGGCTCTTTTTCTCAGGAAAGGTTAGCAGGGTCTGAGCAATGCAGAGAGTCAAAGTTGTCTGTTGCTGAGCTGCTCTTACACTTTTTTCCAGGGCAAACTGGGCAGTCTCAGGGAGCCAGGCAAGAGCCTGCAGGCAAGCAAGAAGGCTACCTAACACTCCTGCATGGCTACACTGCAGTCTTCACCTAAGCAGGGTCTGAAAGCATGGGTATCTGAGCATGGAGAGGAGCAAGGCTTACCCTGTACAGCTGCACATTACTGGGAGTTAGACTGGCTATGGTACAGCCACACGTCTGCAAATGTCAGCTCATAAAAGGAAAAAAAAAAGAAATCGCCTTTGGTTTAAAGTTTGCCCCCTCTGTGCCCCCCTTTTCTCCCCCCCTCTCTGCTTCAAAAGAAAGACAGGTTTGAGTCTGACTCTGAAGCACCCTCCGCTACAGTATGTGCCATTTACTTTAGTAAGGCTGATTAAGTCATGCATTTACAAGTAGACCTTCCATCAGAGCTAATTTAAAGCAGATGTTCTGGGTTCCACAGCCAGGGAGGCATCAATCTGAGAATTGCAAGAGTCTCTGTAAGAGCACTGTTTTTACTGCACTTTATAGTGCACTGGGAGGAGGTTAATTGGTGTAAAAGTTTAATTTCAAATAAGGAGCCCCTTTTAAAGTTGCATATATGCATATACTTTTTATGGAGCGTTATATTACAAAGTCAAAGTGGGGGAGAAAAATCATTCAAAAACATTTCAGGATCAAAGACGCCCAACCTGTCAAATGCTAAGATATTTTTATGAGAAAATAGGACTCACATTTTCTCCAGAAGACGCGGGGAGAAGTAAGGAGTGGAAAAATATTTAACTAGATTCCATGGTATATTAGAAAAAGGAGGAAAAAAAACTCATCCATGCCAATATGTTGGTTTCAGAACCTTCTGGCTTGGCTTCTGCTGCTGAAAATATTGGCAAGAAAATGCTCTGTGCCGGGATTATTTATTAGAATAGCAATAGATTTGTACAGTTTAACAATAGAGGGAGGATTCAGAATCATCCGTTTTCTCCAGGTTCTAACTTTCAACTACTTTTGTTTTTTATTTGTGAGCCAGAATAACTATACTTATCCCTAGAAATTATCATCAGTACTGGTTTAACATAATTTTGATATTTGATTAATTATATTGCCTGTGAAGGGTTTATGGCCTGTTTCTTACACTAAAAACTGCACAGGCTATTCCCAGGTGGGAGACCAGTTTTCTTACGAATTTTAAGTCATTTAAATTTATATTTTATACTTCTTAGAAGTTATCACATTTTTGCATTTAATAAAGATAACAACAAAACAAACTGTATCTACCTTGAAATTCAGTCTATATTTGCAGATAATATGGAGTATGGCATTATTTGGCTCCAGAAAGGCTCTCCCCCACTCCTTCCTGAGGGAAAATGTCATTAAATTTTGCTGCTCTTCCTGCCTTGAATTGCAGGAGCAACTATGGGCCTTGGCCAAACTTGCTTAGCACTTTCCAAACCATGGCCTTGACAAAGCGCCTTCTAGTCTACCAGGATAAGACAGATAAAGACAGGCCTAGAACTGCTTTTTGTAAATGAAATGAGCGATTTATTTAAGACTGTAGGAGAGCTATGCCTGGAAACATCATACGTGCTTCTTAAATCCCAGCCTAGAGCCCCAGCCACAGCAGGTTCAGTTTCTGTTCCTGATAAAGACTTCTCATCAAACAGCAGCAAAACATGACAGCAAAGCTCTCATCTGTTACTTCTCCTTTCCCATCTGTTCAATGCACAGAGCCATTTCAGGCTTGTATGACTGAGGGAGATTTTTGTGGGTTTCAATATAGAGGGTCATTTCAGACTCACTGTGCTGTAACCTACAGATTGAGCTCAGTCAAGTCTTGTGCCCTATCTCATGCTCCTCTTCTTCTTGGCAAGGACTGTATTTCAGGCATCTGTAGTGTTGTGCAAGAGCAAGACCTCTGCGGTGATGTTCAGACTCATGTTTGAATCTGCTACATGGGATCCACATCACATTAGCCAAAGTGGTCTTTGAGTTCCTCGCCTCTGTCCATCAAGTGTCACCGTTCATACTGAGAGTGCACGGATCTCTGTGCAGCTCAGTAAAAAGGAATGTATGGCACCTGGGAAGAGGAAGGAAGAAGTTTACTTTGGAGAATTCCCAACAAGAGCTGAACACTGGGGAAACTGGAGGTGCAGACAGACAGTACATTTCCCAGACAGCAGAACAGTGCAGGTGTTGTAACTGCACTGGCTGAATGGGCACTTTTACCATGGCAATGTGATGAAGGAGTTGGCAGGATTTTATTGTATATGAAAAAATCCTTTTCCCAAAATTAAGAGTAGCTGTGTAGAAGAACTAAATCCTCAAAGCTCTCATGACAGGGCAGGGCATACAAAGCCCATCACTAAACATGCTCTTTCAAAAGGTAACTCAAAAAGGTATTGACATGATCAGTGGAGTTCCTGTGCAAGGTTTGCACTTATTCTTTATAGTCTATTTATTGGTACACAGAGACCTGAGTGGGCTTTGTGCCCAAGGAAGAATATTACCCCTCAGGGGATATGGAACTAACAACCTCATAATGCATTGGAGCCAAAACCAGGCAGAGTACACTGGGCCAAATGCACCCTGACTGGAAATCCTGCAATTTGAGAAGTCTACAACACACATGAATTTGAACAAATGCACTTTAAATTTAGAATAGATGCCAAGTAGTAACCATTCCCATGTGAAAATAGCTAATACATCTCTTGGAGACCAGTATGTTCCAGTGAAGTGCATGAACTTAAGGATTTTTTTATTTTCCAGGTGAATAATGCAAGAATAAATTAAAAGCAGGAAATCTTGATAAGTGCTACAAGGACATCTGTGCTCCAAAAACATCTATCCCCATCTTCTCTGGCTCCCTTTAGCAACACCTTCTTCCCCACTAAACTCACTTTCAAAGTTTTTCAAAGAAACAAGTTGCTGCCAAGCCTGATATCTGCAGCCAGGCAAAGTTTTTTATACTACAGTCACTTAAAGTATGTAATGTAGCTTTGTTAAATACAGGAAGACTGCCCAAAAAACTGTTCCTACCCAGTTTACACAAAACAGTGAGCTCCGGGTTCTTTATCTTTGTTTTGTCTTTAAAATTCACCTCTGAATATATTGCTTCCAAATTCCACATGATAATTTTCAGCCAAAGTGAAAAGTCTGCAAACTGTGAGGTCTTACAGTTAGCAAATACCGAAATCCAGGGTCAGCTTTTCCAAAAAGGCTTCTGGAGCACTTAAGAGTGCTTCTGACTTTAATAGGGCCTTTTGTTTTAGCCT